ACCATCAACCTCCTGCTCTACAGCTGATCCACCTTCTCAACGCCAACGCCAACGTCGAACTCCACTGTACACACAGCAGGCAGAACTCGAAGTCGAAGACACCGAAGTGCCGAGGCGTCCTCATACGATCCAGCCAACCCCCAAACTGCTCTTCAGCGATCTATTTGGCACTAAGGTCACCGTTGTCGTTTCCGCCGACGAGATGGGTCACAAAGAGTAGCAGACGACTTCTACCTGACTCCCCACACCTAATCACCATACAATCTTCACCATCGCAATCTCAGCCAAACCAAAACAAAGAGGCTGAAGAAGCCCAAGCAAAGGCAACGGTACTCAGATTGATTCTGAGGATACCTTACCGATCTCAAAAATGGCCGAGCGGAAAAAAGTACCTTTGTCGCCGAAAAGAGGCCTGCAAAGGCTGCTCTCTCTGAATCCACCCGTCAAAGAAGCTGAGGTCAGAGTCTGCCACAACCTCGGGGTCTTGAAATCCGATGCCCTTCTGGCCCCTCCAATCACCATTGAGGACAAGCCAGTCAGAGTCGGCAGACAGCGTGACTGACCTTAAGTCGACATTGCGCTCTCTACTGCTTTGCCCGTACAAAGACCTCGAACGCAATGCCGAGGTCAGCGAATATGAAAACTCTGCTCTGATGTTGCCACCACACAAGTAAGCCCCTAACACTTGGTATATTATTCTTTGTTTTTCCATACTTAGAGTTTTATTAATTTGGTTTTTCCTTTCTTCTAGGCGAGATCCAGCACGCCCACTCCTTCGCGATGCAGGCCTTCGACATTAAGAAGAGTTGACCACAAAACGAAAGAGACTGCTGGCTTGCTCAGGGACCATCAATAAGGCCGAGGCCAAGATGAGAGACTTTGATAGATCAGGCCAAGGAAGCAAAACAAGCCAATTGCGAGGTCGATGAGAGGGCAGACGTTGCCAAGGCCGTTCTAAGGTCCTTAAAGCGAGAAGAAAGGAGCCAAAGCAAAGACTGCCGAAGCCCAAAGCCGAGTTCATCGCTGCCTTGGCCACAAAGGACGCCTGAGATCAAAGCGGCGGACGAGAAAGCCTACGCCGAGAGGGCAGTCGACGTCCGTGAGGACTACAAGAAACAAGTGAAACAGGCATGCAACAAGGTTTCACCCGTGTTGGATGGCTGCCTTAAAGGAGTTGGGCCCAACGACTCAACTTCTCGAGATAACAGTTCTCTCATCCTGCCATTCCCCCCCACTCCAAGCCAATCCGAGGGACGAGGCTGAGTCCGGAAGATGTCGAGGACGGACAAGTCTGAGAAAGCCGATGCTGTAAGGCCAAGTCCCCGTCCCAACTCTGAATGAGCAGTTTTTAGACTTGACTCAGTGAGGGGGGCGAGGTCTCAAAGAAGATGCCTCTTAGGGAGACAATATCCGAGCGTGCTATCGCCGAGAAGAGCCTTTACCAGACTCTTGAAGAGATCGATGCTGAGCTCGCCGCTGAAAGGTGCTGAGAAGAGTTCCCAGATGTCTTCTGATAACCAAACCCTTCCAGCTGATGACGCCGAATAGTCCTGCTATTACTTTTTTTGTACTTAGTAATTTTGTGAACAAATGTTTTTAGTTTTCATATTTGGCTGGCGTGCACTTTTTGTAATCAGAACAAGTAGTCTTTTTGTAGGCCGAAGTGTCTTTTTTTCTCTTTTTAAGGCAAGTACAACTTCTTTTTTTTACTAAGTGTTGAATGTTGTTTTCCCTTTACTGTTTGTATGTTTCCATGCTTAGAATTTTTGCATGTCATTCGAAATACACCTTAACTGTTGAATCTCTCGGGGTGAAAATACTCGGTTATACCCACTAATAGTTTATCTCGGTCTTGGCTTAACACTTGAAAATATTATAAAAATATTTATCATAAGTGTTATTTATAACTTGTGTAGAACCCCATTTTTGATCGACCTTAAAACACAGAACGTCACCGATGTGAGCGATTGTGCATCGTTTGCATTAATGTGCTCGTTCAGCAAGCAGAAGTTCGCGCTCGTGAGCCTTGCTCCGGACTTCCGAATCCTCTTTTGTGCCTGTGTCCCGGTTTGCGAACAGACTCGGTTTTCTCGTTTCTTTTTCACCGAAGGAGAGGAAGAGTGTCCCGTAGACACATCTCTCAATGTCCGTAAGCTACATTTGGTAGGCCGTAGGCATTACCCATTCCGGAGTCCGGTCACCGTTTTCGGAACGTTGCCGTGTGCCCAGTTCCGGATCGCTTAACATCTCCTATTGTCCGGTTTCTGGCATTACCTTCTATCTGCTCCTGTTGAGGACACTAGGGGCTGAGAAACCCAGCTTCGTGCCGAACGCATTCGGTGCTTTAACAGCCCATTTCTGGACCCCGAACTGCGCGTTTTGGTCCCCGAGCATTCGTTTTTGCAAGTTTTCGTTCATTTGGCAGGTACCTCTGTTTTAATCACCGGGAGGACATGAAGGGTTGAGAGCCAGTAATTGTTGCAGCAACCAGTTTACATCCTCCGACGCCCTCCGCGCCGTTTTTTCGCCACTTCGGGACTAATGTTCGAACCCACGCTTGGCCTTTTTCTTGAACTTTGAACCCATATGATATTGATGTACACACATGAGAGGGACCCTAAAAGTCATGGCCGCCATTAATTCAACGTGACCCAGTTTTGCCCCCTCCTTCCGGCTAATGTTGACCCCACTTGGTACCCTTTCTTGACTTGACCACATATTGTGATGTACACACATGAGACGATCTAAAGATTCAATGCGCGCATTATTCAAACTTGACCCTTGACCCCCTCTTCTAAGCTAATGTTGACCCCTTGATCCAATTTCGGACTTAACCAAATATTTGTGTGTAACAGTAGGGGCCTCACCATTGTGCGCCGGCCAGAAAATATGATTGACCTTTTGACCCCTAGCGCCGGTAGGGTAGTGGCGGCGCGTCCACCTGCACAAAAACCAGCTGCCGGCCGTATTCTTGCACTGTGCACTTATAGCTGTGAGACTTTAGCCCCAGATAAAATCTTATCCGGGGATATTTTGTGGGGAATGTTGCCTCCTTTTCCCCACCTATTAAACCCTTGTTGCCTTATAGCAAGAGCAAGCCTTGGTTATTGGGGTTAGGAAACAACTCATACTTCCAAGCTTCCATATTACATCCCATTTCTATAGGCCTCTATTTCTTAAAAACCCTAAGCCCCCTAACCATCATTTCTCTACTACCACCCAAGCTCTACACACACCACGTCAATTTCCGCAGCAACAAGAACGGTTTCTCAAGAGCCAAAGAAGCTGCAAATTGGTCCAAGAAGCAACAAAGTTGGTCTGGCCCTTTTCAAGGACAACAAGGAGAGGGGGTGGCCCTCTCCTTCCTAGGACCTCAAGGCACCATCCCCATCACTGAAATCCCTCAAGATTTCAGTGGTGAGGAGGCCCAAACACAATGGTCCCGGAGCTCAACCGAAATGGCACAAAACAAAGGCCAAACAAGCCTTAAGAGGGGTCATACAACCCCAAAGCTTAAAACACCCTTAACAAACTATTTAGAGCACTTAAAAAAAAAACTTTTCTATGTTATATGCTAAGCTCAAAAATAGATGCAAGATAGACTAAAAAGCTTTGCAAAAAAGGGGTAAAAAGTCTTACCCTTGTAGCACAACAGCAAATCAGCAACTTTTGGACCAAGAAAAGGCTTCAAATCACCCCAAAAATCACCTTCAAGGACCTCAGCTCAATAGAGGGAGTAGAGAACTAGGTGTTTGTATGCAAAAGTGCAAAGAAAATGCACGTTTGAGCACAAACAAGCCCTAAACCTTAGAGAGAGAGGCAGAAAAATGTAGAGAGAGAGAGAGAGAGATTTTTTTGCTCCTTTTTTGTATCTCTCCTCCTCTTTCTCTTGTATCTCTCTTTTGAGAGAGCTTGATTGATATAGATATATCAATCTGCAGCCCCCCTCAAAAGTCCCACGTCCAGGCATGGGCTAGGGTATGGCCTGGAATGACAGTTGCCAACTGTCTACAGAAATATCTGTTGAAAACCACATTTGGCCGGCCGGCCATCAAAGTGGTCGACCGGCAGTCAAATTGGTTGGCCGGCCATCACATTTGGCCAATGGCAACAAGACACAGCTGGTGGCCTCAAGCCACGGTTGGTGGAGTGTAGGGATGTCCCAAAAGCCATTCCCTGCCCTCCAAAGCAAAAACACAAGTGTTTGGTGCAAAACCAGACACAAAACGGTCGAGTCGAGAGATTCTGAGGCAAGGTGCATAGCCGAGGCCTCTGGGAACTCAAGACGAACACAAACATGGATGATCACCGAGTGTTCAAGCGGTGACGTCCAAGACTTGAGGACGGTAAAAAATGGGGTGTCTACACATAGGTACATACTTAATGTGAACATAAGTGAAACTTAAGTTCACATTAGGGGGCAGAGAGTTGGAGAATAATGCTTGGAAATTGGAATTTACAAGTTAAAATTGGTTTAACACTTGTTGAAATTTTAAGAAAAATTTACAAGTTGAAGTTAAGCCTAAGGTTATGTTGAAAGAAGTATCTACGTACTTGCCGAGATTACCATGTTACCAAGACTTGGAAGGTAATAGAAGATAGAAGTCTTGATAAGTGAGAGTGAAGTGACAAGTTATAAATAACACTTATGAAAATATTTTTTATAATATTTTCAAGTGTTAAGCCAAGACCGAGATAAACTATTAGTGGGTATAACCGAGGTATTTCACCCCGAGGAGATTACACAGTTAAGGTGTACTTCGAACGACATGCAAAAAATTCTAAGCATGGAATCATACAAAACAGTAAAGGGAAAACAAACATTCAAACACTTAGTTAAAAAAGAAGAAGTTGTACTTGCATTAAAAGAGAAAAAAAGACACTTCGGCCTACAAAAAGACTACTTGTTCTGATTACAAAAGTGACACGCCAGCCAAATATGAAAACTAAAAACATTGTTCACAAAATTACTAAGTACAAAAAAAGAGTTAATAGCAGGACTATTCGGCGTCATCAGCTGGAAGGGTTTGGTTATCAGAAGACATCTGGGAACTCTTCTCAGCAGCCTTCTCAGCCGCGAGCTCAGCATCAATCTCTTCAAGAGTCTGGTAAAGGCTCTTCTCGGCGATAGGCGCCTCGGATATTGTCTTCCCGTAAGAGGCATCTTCTTTTGAGACCTCGCCCCCCTCACCTTGAGTCAAGTCTAAAAACTGCTCATTCAGAGTTGGGGACGGGGACTTGGCCTTAGCAGCATCGGCTTTCTCAGACTTGTCCGTCTCGACATCTTCCTCGGACTCAGCCTCGTCCTCGGATTGGCTTGGAGTGGGGGGGAATGGCAGGATGAGAAGACTGTTATCTCGGAGAGTTGAGTCCTTGGGGACAACCAACTCCTTTAAGGCAGCCATCCAACCACGGGTGAAACCCTTGTTGCATGCCTGTTTCACTTGTTTCTTGTAGTCCTCACGGACGTCGACTGCCCTCTCGGCGTAGGCTTTCTCGTCCGCCGCTTTGATCTCAGCGTCCTTTGTGGCCAAGGCAGCGATGAGCTCGGCTTGGGCTTCGGCAGTCTTTGCTTTGGCCTCCTTCTTCTCGGCTTTAAGGACCTTAGTAACGGCCTTGGCAACGTCTGCCCTCTCATCGACCTCATCTTGGACTTGTTTTGCTTCCTTGGCCTGATCTATCAAAGTCTTCATCTTGGCCTCGGCCTTATTGATGGTCCTGAGCAAGCCAGCAGTCTCTTTCGTTTTGTGGGTCAACTTCTTCTTAATGTCGAAGGCCTGCATCGCGAAGGAGTGGGCGTGCTGGATCGCCTAGAAGAAAAGGAAAAACCAAAGTTAATAAAACTCTAAGTATGGAAAAACAAAGAATGAAATATACCAAGTGTTAGGGGCTTACTTGTACGGGGTGTTGCAACATCAGAGCGAAGTTTTCATATTCGCTGACCTCGGCATTGCGTTCGAGGTCTTTTGGAAGGGGCAAAGCAGTAGAGAGCGCAATGTCGACTTCAAGGTCAGTCACGCTGTCGCTGACTCTGACTGGCTTGTCCTCAATGGTGATTGGAGGGGCCCAAAGGGCATCGGATTTCAAGGACCCCGAGGTTGTGGCAGACTCTGACCTCAGCTTCTTTGACCGGGTGGATTCAGAGAGAGCAGCCTTTGCAGGCCTCTTTTCGGCGACAAAGGTACTTTTTTCCGCCTTGGCCATTTTTGAGATCGGTAAGGTATCCTCAGAATCAATCTGAGTTACCGTTGCCTTTGCTTGGGCTTTCTTCAGCCTCTTTGGTTTTGGTTTTGGCTGAGATTGCGATGGTGAAGATTGTATGGTGATGGTGTTGGGGATGTCAGGTAGAAAGTCGTCTGCTACAGCCTTTTTGTGACCCATCTCGTCGGCGGAAACGACAACGGTGACCTTAGTGCCAAAATAGATCGCTGGAAGAGCAGTTGGGGGGTTGGCTGGATCGTATGAGGACGCCTCGGCACTTCGGTGTCTTCGGCTTCGAGTTCTGCCTGCTGGTGTGTACAGTGGAGTTCGACGTTGGCGTTGGCGTTGGCGTTGAGAAGGTGGGATCAGCTGTAGAGCAGAGGTTGATGGTTGCTCCACAGGGCCAGATGTTGATCCTTGGTCAGGCCTTGATGATTCAGCTTGAGGAGTTATTGCTGAAGGAGGAGACTTGCTTTTTCTTGGGACGTCAGGGAGTACAGATTTGTAAGTCGGGATGTAGTTGAGCAACAGAGGGGCTTTCTGCTGGTCAACTGGTAAACCCAACAGCCTCTTGAAATCCTTGCTGGGGTAGAAGGATTTGCGGAAGTCCTTGGGCGGTTGAGGAAGCACTGCACAATAAAACAAACAAAGGTTAAAGCATACAAGAATGTCAAAGCAAGAAAGACTTGAAAGCAAGTAAAGGTGACACTTGGCTCTTACCATCTCCCTCTCTGAAAACTGTTCGGCTAAGGGGATAGAGGTGAAGGTCATCATCTGGTGGGAATTCCTAATTGCCCGAGACGATGAAGTAATCGTCTCCAGCACCCATGTTGGAGTCTGGGAGGTCGGCGACAAGTTTTTATTCAGTGGATCTCGACTTAAGGTAATAGATATAGCCCTTTTCTGACTTCAGGCCGCAGATGGTGTAAGAATATTGGATGTCGGCAAGGGTAACCCTAGCATTCTCTTTTTTGGTTAAGGCAATTATACCATTGATAACTTGGTAAGAGTTGATGGCAAGCTGCATTGGGTTCAGTTTATAGTAGTAAAGGACTTATTAGAAAAGGATATCAAGAGGGAACCTAAGTCCACACTCTATGAAGGCTACCACTGGGAAGGGCATAGAGTCGTCTTTGGGCATGATGGTGTCTTCTTCCCCTGCCAACCTAAGATGAACGTCGGCAGGGATGTCAAATTGTTGCCTAAAGTATTCTAACTTAGTTGGGGTGTTTACCCTCCACTTGAACATACCCATGACGTCGGCTAAATGGGGAGAGTGTTGGATTTCAGAAGGAAGTGGCTTGTTAAGGTTTAAAAGACCTCGGCAAAACCTAAACGTATGCTGGGGCAAGAGTTTTTTGAGGATCTAAGGGGAATTTGTTTCAATTTTTCCTAAAGTTTGTAAGTTCTAGAACAAGTCCCAAACCTAAGACTATGGAAACAAGAATTGAAGGCAAGAATCTGGAAAATACAACAAGAAAACAGGAAAAAGCATGATTCAGAAGCCAGAAGGAATTTAAGAACATTTTTAAAAAAATGTACAGATATACAAAGCCAAAGACAGTGGCAGAATACCAAATATTTGTACTTGGTTTAGAACCTAGAAAGCAAAAATCAAGAACAGTGACAAGCTATCAAGAACGTCAACATATGTGTATATGTGTATATGTGTGTGTATACCAACAACAGATTGTACAAAAATAGAATCATGAAACAGATGACGAATGGTAGAATTCAATACATAAATGACTATTTAAGAGCATGAATAGATTTGTAATGGCAGTATACAAGCATAGCAAAGGGGGAATACTGACTTACCAAAGAAATGAAGGCCAGTGTAGAGAACGCCGGGCTAAGACGGTGGCAGCGAGTGAAAAAGAGTAGCAAAAGCTTCGCCGGAGGAGGTGAATGGAAGTGGTTGCAGAAAGCTTTGGGAAGATGACAATGGTGGTTTAGAGAGAGAAAAACTTGAAGCACAGAGAGAAAATTAGAAAATGTGAAGTGAAAAGACGAAGAGAGAGGGAAGTGATTTTGTTAAAACACGAAAAGGCGGCAAATCGCAATTAGTGTGCCTAGGATGACATACTTTTCAAACGGTGCATGCAAGTGCGATGCGACTTAAATAGCACGTGACAAATACGGTTCAATGAGGAAGAGATGCGTGACAAAAACGGTTGAATTACTGTGCGTGACAGCTCATATGCGTGTAGAAACTCTTGGAGTTCTTGATTTAATGAAGCAAAGATCCCGGCTAGGGGGACGATCTCGGCTAAAGAACTTGAAAAAACTTGGTTCTTGGTTCTAAAGCATTGATGTAAACACACATAAGTTTTTGTCATATGGAAGCCGATGTGTGATAGCCTCGGTAATAAAGGGTAGAGCAAGCTTAGCCGATGTGATATATGGTCAAATAATATACGTTCCATCACCTCAGGATACCGAGATAATAGAACCTAGGGGGCAGTTGTGGGGCCATATTTTTTGAATGACAACACGTGGCCAAGGCGGCATCGAAGTGCCAGCCGAGGTGCCACGTGTCTTGGTTATGACGCCAAGATGATCTCGGCTAGGCTGAGGTTATCTACGAAGATACCGGAATCCGAGATGAACGGATAAGTTATAAGAGTCCTAGAATGGAAGAGAATCTCATTCTGGACAAAGATAAAGCTCTTAGGGAGTTTATCTCTATCTATTTGAGAGTTCAGGATAAGCATTGAGTCAGAGTTCATTGAAGCTAGGCTTCTACAGGAATCAAGTCAATACTGGCTATAAAAGTAAGGCACCATCGTGCATCTAAGGTACGCTTTTTGTATTATGACTTGTGAGTTAAGCACAATTGTTTATCTTTGAGAGATATTGATTACTGACTTGATCGTCGGAGTGCCCCGGGTGGAAGAACCACCGCCAGAGTCCTTTCTTTCTGTGATAGGTCGTTTGGGCGGAATCTATTCTGCCGATGTTCTCCAGCTGAGTACCTGTTTGGCAGTGTAATCAAAAAACAACACACAAATAGTATAGATTTTGTGGAGTTTTTAGTTTATATTATCAGTGAAAAAAATTAAACTAATCCGATAATTATAATATTCTTATTTTATTATGTTTATATATATAAAAAAAAATAGACAACAAATGTTAGCTCCAAAAGTAGAAAAAAAATGGTGAGTGTTTTTAAAGTATTATTTTTCAATTTTTATTTTAAAACAAAACCAAACAAATAAAATTGTAGAGTGTTTATTTTCATTTCACTGTTTAATTATAGTGATTATTCAGTACTCTCGGAGTATGGACACGTGGTGCTCCATAAGGTTTTGATTGGTGAAGAGACACAAGAGCCCACGATTTATGTTGGGAATGAGAGAATAACATAGCACTAACTAATTGATGATTGATTTGGAGTATGGACACATGGTGCTCCAGAAATATTGAATAATTTTCCGTTTAATTAATGCATTCTAAAATTTGTTTCCGTATTCAAAATTACACATTTATCACCTTTTTTTTCTTCATCCATATTTATTCTTCTTGGTCAAAATACATTAATTTTCTTCGTGCAACGCTTGTCATTTCCCTCATTAAATACATACACAAATTGATAGCTATTTATATCTTTGATTAATAATAGTATATAAATAAAAATTTCATATACAAAAATGACATTGTGACCCACGTAATATTGTTCTTGAATTATGGATTTGAATCAAAATTTGAAAAAGACAAGAAAAAAATTAGAAATATATAGATATATTTTATTTATATTTTATTTGTATGTTTTATTTCTCTTTTTAAATTTCTAATCAAATTTATAATTCAAACACAACCTATAAAATTTATAATTTAATAATATTGATGATCTTATTATTTTCTCAAACATAACTTATCTTTAAATTTTAACCTGCAATTAAATATGGTTTTAGCCTTCGCTTGGCTTGAGCTATTTTGACTAGTTAGTCTATAAAAACAAAACATGCTAATTTAGTTGTCACATACAAATTATAATCATTTTATTTTATCTCTCATAATTATCAAATCAATTACGAAGAAAAAAATTTTAAATTTATCTCAACCGCAACTTTATTTGCCAATTTAAAATAATTAAAAAATCAAAAAATTAAATTATATTAACTCATCCCAAACACGGGCTCAGTAACACAGTCACATGAGCTCATGTGTTTAAAGGTAGGTGACACGAGATCATGTTGAGATAGAGTTCGGATTTGTTAAGGTTGAAGAGATCTCAACTTCACAGATAAGGTTGGTGTGTTATGGGATTAATTTTTATTCATGTCAATAATTTGAATCGTTTATTTTATATAATAAATTGTATAGAACATAAATATAAAAAATAAAGTTAATCAAATATAACTAATTACATGATAAAATCTCTCACATATATATATACTAGTGTATGCCCGTGCCTAAAGGCACGGTGTAAATAATGTTCTGTTTGAATAATTTTCATTTATCATTCTTTCTTAAGCTAGGAACATTGAGAATCAAGTATACCTAAAGTTCTGTTTTCCCATGACATACAAAAAATGAATAGATAACATATATTTTATCAAGAGGATCCCCTTTATTATAAACACAACTTCAAATAAGAGGAACAACAAAATGGTGTTCTCCCTTTGGAACACACCATGCCAATACAAAAATGGTATTCTTGATCAAAATCTAAATAACAAACACCTCCAAATGTCTACCTCTAAATAACCAAACCAACTCTATATAAGTTTACACAGCATCAACCTGTAAATAACCAAAAATAGTGTAAATTCTGCTCTCGAGATTGCCACTCTTCCAACACTCATCAATCAAAGAAGTGCACGTTTAGTTTACACAACAATAAATACAAAATCATTAAAGAGATAAGAAAAAATTAAGCTTAAAAAAATGTAGACTTGTAAAAAGGGAGTCAATATTGCCATTCGCTTCTAGTCTTCATCCACCTGTAAAATACAGAAAAAAAAGCCAATATAATAATTAAAAGAGAATACCCAATTCAAAACAAACACATGTATTATATATTATAACAAATAGACAGTTTATTTTTAAAAATATATAAATCGTATAGATAAAAATAAATTAATAATATGACAACTGATATTGAATGAATTTAATCTTTTTATATTAGTAATTTTTTTTTATTTAGTTGTATAAGTTGAACGGGTTATAGATGATCAAAGTAGGGTCTAAATTAAACCGATAATAGATCAATTAACATCTTTAATTTTAACAAATCCGGACTTTCCATATTAAGACCATTCCAAAAGCAGAGCAAAAACAGCAGATCACCTCATCCATGAGAGACTCGGTTTTTAAGCGTAATCAAGCGATTCTCACGCACTCAAACCCTTGTTTTTGCTTTTCTCTGCTAAAACGGTAGCAGAGTCTAAGGTAGAGAGAGAGAGAGAGAGAGAGAGAGAGAGAGAATGGGGAAGGACAGGAAAACAGGGGTGGCAATGGACTTCTCAAAGAGCAGCAAAATGGCACTGCAATGGGCAATAGACAACTTGGCTGACAAAGGAGACACCATCTTCATCATCCACATAAAATCTTCCACCCTCGACGAGTCTCGCAATCGTCTCTGGTCCAAGTCTGGTTCTCGTAAGCCCCCCCTTCTTCTTCTTCATCTTCATTTCTCTTCAATTTTTATCTCAATTCTGTTTCGATCCAATCGATTTTGATCGAAAACCAAAATGGGTTTTTTTCTTACAGCTCTTATTCCTTTGTCGGAGTTTCGTGAAGCCGAGATTTTGAAGAAATATGATGTCAAAACTGACATTGATATCCTCGACATGCTCGACACTGCTTCTCGACAGAAAGAGGTTTTTAAAAACGTTTGCTTTTTTCTTTTTGGATTTGTGATTGATGGTTCATTGGCTATTTTTTTTTTAATTTTTAAAAATACTAATAATGTATGTATGAAATAGGTGAATGTTGTTATGAAATTGTATTGGGGTGATGCAAGAGAAAAGCTATGTGAAGCAGTTGAAGATCTGAAGCTGAATTCTTTGGTTATGGGAAGCAGAGGTCTTAGCACCATGCAAAGGTACTCTCCCTCTTCTCTTCTTTTCTCTTTCCACCATTTCTCTCTCTCTCTCTCTCTCTCTCTCCCCGTGATACATTTTCATTTTCATGGGTGTTTTTTGTTTAAGGGTTGTTAATGATCACACAGGATAATCTTGGGAAGCGTGACCAATTTTGTGATGAGCCATGCCACTTGCCCTGTGACCATCTTCAAGGATCCAGATTTTCAAAAGCACTGAAATGTCCAAATTCCAGGAATTGATTCTTTTTAATTATTTATTTTTATAATACTAATATATATTTGGATTTTCGCTATGTATGAGCACACGATTAGTCTTTTTTTTTTTTTTCAAATGTTTATGTTTTGACATTATTATGTCTTGAGATTCGAGGCAGACTCTCTGATGGCATTGCAATCAACATTACTCATCTCATCTATCCATTTGCAGAGTCCAGGAAATTTCTCCTCTGTCAACAACTACACCACACCCATTGCTTCCTGAGTGACTTGAAGCCAAAACCCGATCAAGTTTGTCACGATGTCTACTCGAGTGATAGCCAATTTTGATGTGGACTAGATTGGATCATCTATGGTTGCAAGCTTACAATCAATCATATCTATTAGAAATGAGGATTAGCTATTGTTAGTTTCAATTCTTCTTCTTATGGAGGCCATATTAGAAATTCGTAAGGTTGCAACATCTAGAACATTTTTTACATCAGAGTACTTGATTTTCTCATTTATTCACAAGCAAATTTCCATGCGGAAGATATAAGAAAGATGGTTGCTCTTGTTTGATTGTGTTTTTGTTTCCTGTTTACATTTTCTGGAAAACTCAGGGAAAAAAATATTTGGTGATGATTTGTTCATGAAAACAACCCATTATTCACAAAACATCGAAAGTTGTTTTCGAAATTTTTTTTCTCATAAAAATGAAAACGATGTGCAAACAATGGATGTTCTTGAATTTTTCAATGTTTTTGTTTTTGAAAACATGAAAAACAAACGAAAGAAAATGAAAAACAACCAAACAGGCCCAATTTTGAGTAGGTAGGACTTCGAGATCAAGACTCAAGGATGGCTGAGGCAGTTAGAACTAATTAACCTAGACATGGTGACAATGGCACCACTGGTTCCCTCCCTCACATTTGATTACGAGCCACACAATGGTCACAACCCTTCTTCATGGTTGAACTTGAATTAATTAAGCTAAAAATGTGAGGGAAGAGGTGTTGTACTGATATATGACACTTCCTTCTGCACAGATCCTTTGCCGAGTCATTCTTTATTTATTCTTTTTTTTTTTGGTGTAGAATGTTCTTTGTTTATTCATTGTTTTGTGCAATCCTGACTCAACTGCCATTCTTTATCAAGATTTCGTGGCTAATGCACTTCCATATACACATTCTGTTTACTTTTTTTTTTTTTATAAATATTTATATATCATTACTCTATTTCTAATGCACACCATTACTCTTTCACAGCTTGTCTACAAAAATATCACTTTCTATTTGAAATGAAACAAGAGCGATAACTAGCTCCTCATACATAGAAATTTAAAGTACTTTAATCAATTCTCAACACAAAACACAAGAACTAGTAGTACATAGAAAAGAAGACCGGTCTGCAATTCGAAACTGCATATTTTTATTTTTGATGAAAAAATGTTTAAAAAAAAAACTACTGATTGTTGTAAGTTGCTTTGGCAAAGGCCAGTAGTTTCTCTCTGGGTGGCAGATGTTCTTTGATGACAGAGCAACTGACATACTCTTCGATCCATTTGTAGAGTCTGGGAAATTTCTCTTCTGTCAATACCTCTACTCCCACTGCTTCTTGAATCACTACAAGCCAATATCCGATCAAGTTTGCGACAATGTCTACTAGACCAACACTGTCTCCTCCAAAAAACTTCTTATCATTCAGTTGGGCTTCTAGTGTTTTCAGGAGCTCAATTGTTTCTTCAATGCCCTTATCGTCTTTGGTAAAACAAGCCTTCTTTATTGCAGGCAAGCACTGTAATACACACACCAAATTATAAAAATTAGAAAAATCCAATGCGACATATGAATTTAATCTAATGTAAGTATTAAAGTGTGATACAACTTCATCAAATTGCACGACCACATTGATAGGAAAGAGCAAAATTTGAAAAAGGATGCTAGATTTGTAAATTTTTACATTGTGACAATTAAGTCCGATTGATAATACCTATAAGAAATTACATAGAAATCAACGGCAAAATTATCCACTCAAAAGAGAATAGATCATTTCAAATTTGACGCAAACTCATCATTCATTTTGAAGAGAAGAATGGACTAATTTGCCCATTGGTTTTAGTCTAATTTGTAAAGGTGTATTGTAAGGTAAAATTGATGCAGTTAGAACTATAATGATGAAAGACAAATTAAGGAGACTATGGGGTTTATTGACCTTGAATTTTCTAGACATTTTATGTGCACACAACATTTTTGTTTGGAGAAAAAAAAAATATAATAACATACCTTCTCATCTATGAAGTTGGCCCAGAAACGCGCTATAGCTCTCTCATGGGGATCTTTGGGGAAGATGGGATTGCCTTTCCAGGTGTCGTCAATGTATTCAAGAATGACAAGCGACTCGCAAATTGGCTTTCCATTGTGCAAGAACACTGGGATCCTCTTGTGAACAGGGTTGCACTTGAGAAGAAGAGGACTCTTGTTCTGGAGATCTTCTTGGATGAATTCGTATTCGATGCCCTTCCATTTTAGGGCAATCTCAACTCTGCAATTAAAAGGACTTGCCCAATGTCCCAACAACTTCACTTGTTCAGCCATTTTATCAATTCTTAGCTTTTTTGTTACTCTTTTTGAAATTACAAGTTTGAGGTTGGTATTTTAGTCATGGACTTGGTAGCTTCTTATAGAGGAACCATACTAGGAGTTTCTTGGCCATCAAGATTACATGTATGTACTTATCAAATTTTTAGTTGGTAGGTGAGAGGGTAATTTATATATAAATTGGGCCGAGTTAGGTAATGGGCCGTTCATTTGGCCACAGTAAGAAGGGCTGGATAAAACGGAGCTTGGAGTTAGCCCGGTCCGGAGAACGCCTTTATTATCCCAATCCAAAAGAGCCTTGAAGTTATTCCGGTCTAAAGAAGCGTGGCGATTAGCCCGGTTGCCATACTCAGAGTTAGCCTGGTCATGGCATATTATGGATAGCCTGGTCAGAACCTAGCTATTTGTTAGCTCGGTCAGGACCTTGATGTTTTGTTATCTCGGTCTAATCCCGCCAGGGTTTGTGCAGGAGGAACCAGGGTAAGAGCAGTGAAAGGAAGAACCAAACTAGCTATAGTTCGGTCTACTCTGTGGCTCAGCATAGCCATGCTTACCTCGGTCATATTGGAGTTCGACCATGGTAAAACCATCTCACTTGGTTCAAGCAGTGGGGAGGATATTGAAGGATAAGCATTATCTTTCAGGAATGTGATTCCTAGGAGGACTCTACATGGAGGAGTAAAAGTCCTACTAGGATTGTGCCACACGGAACCTATAAACGCTCATAACATCACCTATGGAGAGGTAACATAACTTTGATTCTCGAATACACAGAGCTTTTTGTCTATTTTGCTGACTTAGGCATCGGAGAGGTATCCGGCACACACCCGCCGGCTAGCTCACGTTTGTGTTTTCAGGGAGTAAAGCGACGTCGTATAGAGGAGCGCAGACTTGATCAACAGGATTATACGGGAAGAATATTTCGTGCCCGTACAATTGGCGTCGTCTGTGGGAACATCAGACTAGAACAAAACCTCTTGATCAAGCTTTTCCTCTTTAGAAGCAATGGCGCACAACGAAGATTTGCCGCAGTCCGCCATCGACGGAAAAACACCAAAGGAGGGTGCAAGGCGCGAAGGCCTACCTTCTATCCCTCCCATGGTGGACTTGAAGCCACAGCGACAGAATCCCAGGAGGGATGCAAGGGGGAGGAGGCGGACTAACAGCCCCTATCACTCTCGTTCACAAAGTCCCGACAGACAAAGGCGGAGGTTTGATCCTCAAGTTCTGGAGGACCGCATGAAGGAGCAAGATGAATTGATAAGGAAGATGGCGGCGGACATGGAGGCCATGAAGTGCCAGATCAAGGGAAAAAGGGTGGCGACAGGAGAGGGGCGCAAAGGCAATGCGCCTCCTCGCCACTAAGAAGATCGTTAGTAGGCATACCACGACATCGCAAGCAGAGAGTAGAAACCTCAGGACGAGCGACACTCAATCAAGGACTTCCAGAACTCGTCACTCCAGGTCTAAGAGAACGAGATCATTAAAGTCTTACACAGAGGGAAGTACCTATCGACCTTCACACACGCACTATACATCATCCAGGCAAACAGAGTTGCCTAGATCGTCCGACTTACGGATTGTGCTTGAAGAAATGACGTGACAGAAGGAAGATGTTAGGACACGCGATCCACACAGGGTTTCAGCCCTTCAGCGGTTGGCCCCTCGGACGCATGGAAGTGTCGAGGTTGGGATGTCAATACCGTACCTTGCCTACGAACCAACAGATAAAGCGTTGGCAAGACTCCATTGCTCGTCGTTCGTTCTGGCAATTGAGAACGCACCATTACCCTTAGGCTTCATCCAGCCAAAATTTACCACGTATGAAGGGAAGACAGACCCTTACATGCACCTAAGCCACTTTCGTCAGGTTATGGCAGTATACCGACGGAACGAAGCTTTAATGTGCATCCCCTTCCCATCAAACCTTGGTGACCTAGGCTTGACTTGGTTCGAAAAACTTCCAGAAGGCAGCATAGCCTCCTGGGCACAATTGGCGGAGGCGCTCGTGACTAGGTTCAGAACGAACACCAAAACCCTGGTGGAAATTGATCAACTGCTCTCCATCGACATGAGCAAAAAATAGTCATTAAAATCCTACAATAGCCGCTACTGGAAGACCTTCAACCAGATTGGGGACTGCCTCACCAATCTCGCCATCGCATAGTACAAAAGAGGCCTTCCAGTCGGGAACAGACTAAGGGACTCAATCATTATGACACCGCCTCTTACGATGGAGGCCTTAATGGAGAGAGTGCACCAGCACATTCGGGTTGAAGAAGATGGCGCCCATGTTAAAGCAAAGTCTAGCACGACTACAGTACCAGATAAAAGACCGCGGTAAAGGTTAACGCGGTAGAACGTCCGAACAGAAATGGATGAGGCAGGTGGGACAACGGAGAAGACCATGATAAAAGATGGTTGAGAATCCACACTGCCATTACCACGGTATTCAAAAAGCCAATCTACCGGATTCTGAGCGAGATACGCGATGAACCTTTCGTCAAATGGCCTGCCAAGCTAGGAGAGGCGCAGAAGGACTACGACGAAAGATCATGGTGCACCTTCCATAAAGAAAATGGGCACCGCACTAAAAATTGTACACCATTGAGACAGCATCTAGAGGAGTTGGTGGCAGCCGGTCACTTGGACAAATACATTGAAGGAGGGGCACAGCCAGCCCCCCAGAATGACGATCACCCGAACGGTATGCCAATCGACCCCCCACCTTAAGGCGTGATCAACGTGATTCATGGAGTATTCGAACCTGAGCGCGTATGCGAGCTCAGAGGCATGATAAAGAAGGTTGAGCAATTAAGAAAGGTACTAAGTGCCCAACCTACCATCAAAAAGGGGAGAACAGAGGCCACGAACGTCATGTCTTTTTCAGACAAGGACTTGGAAAGAATATATTGCCCTCACAACAATGCACTGGTCGTCACCCTTCGTATCAAGGACTATGACGTCAAGCAAATTTTGATAGACCAAGGTAGCTTGTGTGAGATCATGTACTACAACACCTTCAAACAACTAAAATTGGAGGACAAAGACCTGGCCCCAGCTGTATCCCCCCCGATCGGATTCAACTCAATGCCAGAATGGCCTGTCGGCAAAATTATCCTGCTAGTCAGGGCAGGAAGCGTGACAAAACAAGTGGAATTTTGGGTGTTGAAGGCCCCTTCCACTTACAACATAATTTTGGGAAGAACATGGCTGCATGCCATACGAGAGGTAGCTTCGTCCTACCATCAAGTAATTCGATTCCCTAACGAAATCGGGGTAATTGAAGAGGTCTTTGGAGACCAAATTATGTCCAAGCAATGCTTTGTCACGGTTAATGGCAGTCGCACTGCCAAGGGATATGTTCATTCGGTGGAAGAACCTGAGAGCAATGAACTATTCGTAGATGTCGGCAAAGCAGCTAACCAAAAAGCAGTGGAAGACTTGGTAGAAGTAAGAATAGATGAAAAGAACCCGGATAAATTCTTTTTGCTCGGTTCGTCGTTATCCAGCACTGAGAGATTAAAGGTCTTGGAATTCTTGACCTCTAACATCGAAGTGTTCGCCTGGACACCCTATGACATGCCAGGCATTGATCCAAACTTCATCTGTCACTAACTCAATGTCCACCCATCCGCCAGACCAATCATTCAGCGCACTCGCAGATCGGCACTCCACCACGCCGAGATAGTGGCGGAAGAAGTGGAAATCTGCTAGAGACAGGAGCTATCAGAGAGGTGCACTACCCCAGATGGATTTCCAACACAGTCGTGGTGCCAAAAAAGAATGGCAAATGGCGTGTCTGCATCAACTATAAGACAGTCAACAAAGCATGCCCAATGGACAGCTTCCCTCTACCACGGATAGATCAATTGGTAGACCTAACGGCGGGGCACAACCAACTTAGCTTTCTGGATGCGTACAAAGGCTACAATCAGATCACCATGTACGAACCAGACCAGGAGGTCACGTCCTTTACAACTCCAAGAGGACTGTATTGCTACAAGGTCATGCCCTCTGGCCTAAAGAACGCAAGGGCAACATTCCAGAGAATGGTCACCAAGATGCTTGAGCCGTTGTTAGGCAGAACAATGGAAACTTACATCGACGATATGGTGGTCAAAAACAAGGATGAGAACGACCATCTAAGGGACCTAGGTGAGATGTTCTAGATTCTGAAGAGACACAAGTTGTGCCTTAATGCATCTAAGTGCGCGTTCGGTGTAGGATCTGGCAAATTCCTAGGCTTCTTGGTGACCAACCGGGGTATTGAGGCAGACCCCTCCTAGATCAAAGCTATTTAGGATCTGGAGAGGCCTAACTCAGTAAAAGAAGTGCAGCATCTCACCAGCATGGCAGCTGCACTCAACCAATTCATTAGCCGGTCGTCAAACAGACTACGACCATTTTTTCTAACATTAAAAGCCAAGTTCGAATAGGACGAAGAATGCGACCGCGCTCTGGAAAACTTGAAGGAATACATGTCTTCTCCACCACTGCTTGTCATCCCAATACTTGGAGAAGAACTCTTCCTATGCCTAGCGGTCTCTCAGTACGTAGTCAGCGCAGTATTGGTCCGTGCGGAAGGAATCCAACATCTGCCCATCTATTATGTCAGCAAGACATTGCTGGGCCCCGAAACGAGGTACTTGCCACTGGAAAAACTGGCCTTGGCCTTAATGATGGCCTCAAGGAAGTTGTCGTACTACTTCCACGCCCACACCATAGTCGTCCTCACAACTTTCCCATTAAAAGCTTTGTTTGAGAGAGCGAACTTTTCTGGGCGAATCTTGAAGTGGGCAGTAGAGTTGGGACAATTCGACATCAAGTTCCAACCCAGAACCGCGATAAAAGCCCAAGCTTTGGCAGACTTTGTCGCAGAATTTACTCTTGGAAGTCATCATATCTGCCCAATTGACTTGACTAATACAACCGAACTAGGAATGGAAGTTGACGCCGGAATAGCACAACCCCTGGTTCAGGATACTCAGTCGGACCCCAAGGCAGACCAGAGTAAAGAGAGTAAGGTAGAA